AAGGAAACCCCTTATTTTCATAGAGGCCCTGCCCTGGGTGGGGGCCCTGCTCTAGGTCGGGGCCCTGTCCTGGGGGTTGGTCCTGTCCTGGGCGGGGGCCCTGTCCAGTGTGGTGGTCCTATCCTAGTTAGGGGGCCCTTTCCTGAGCGGGGGCCCTGTCCTGGATAGGGGTCCTGTCCTGGCGGGTGGACCCCAATAAAAGTCCTTGTGTGGGATCTCTACATGTCAGCAGTGCCTGCTGCCGCCGCCTTCCGGATGGTGATCCCTCTCTGTGCAAAGTATCCCCGGCCGCCACAATCCCTCACACACGCTGAGCCAGCGCTGTCACGATCCGGGCGGCAGCAGGCAGTGCTGACATGTAGAGATCCCACACAAGGGCTTATATTGGGGTCTGAGGATGCGTTGGGGTGCAAAACGCGTTGGGTGGAGTTTAGACTGCTGACGTCCAGCCACCATATGCACTCTATGTGGAGGACACATTTCATGGTCCATAAGAAGATTCCTATGAAGTATCGAGGAGGGGACATCCAAGGATAATACCACTCCATGGGTCGGAGTTGGAGGAGAGCGCCATGTTAGATGGTGGAGGAGCACAAGCTAGATGGTGGAGGAGCACAAGCTAGATGGTGGAGGAGCACATGCTAGATGGTGGAGGAGCACATGCTAGATGGTGGAGGAGCACAAGCTAGATGGTGGAGGAGCACATGCTAGATGGTGGAGGAGCACAAGCTAGATGGTGGAGGAGCACATGCTAGATGGTGGAGGAGCACATGCTAGATGGTGGAGGAGCACAAGCCATATTCATTGGTGGAGGAGCACATGCTAGATGGTGGAGGAGCACAAGCTAGATGGTGGAGGAGCACAAGCTAGATGGTGGAGGAGCACAAGCTAGATGGTGGAGGAGCACATGCTAGATGGTGGGGGAGCACAAGCCGTATTCATTGGTGGAGGAGCACATGCTAGATGGTGGAGGAGCACATTCTAGATGGTGGGGGAGCACATGCTAGATGGTGGGGGAGCACATGCTAGATGGTGGGGGAGCACATGCTAGATGGTGGAGGAGCACATGCTAGATGGTGGAGGAGCACATGCTAGATGGTGGGGGAGCACATGCTAGATGGTGGGGGAGCACATGCTAGATGGTGGAGGAGCACATGCTAGATGGTGGGGGAGCACAAGCCGTATTCATTGGTGGAGGAGCACATGCTAGATGGTGGAGGAGCACAAGCCGTATTCATTGGTGGAGGAGCACATGCTAGATGGTGGAGGAGCACATGCTAGATGGTGGAGGAGCACAAGCCGTGTTCATTGGTGGATTGACAGATTACTGAAGATTTCATTTTATTGCACATATTGGGACTTTTTATGAAAATTATGTGATTTCATTTTGAGGGTTCAGTTGATTTTTATGGCACATTCAAGGAATTCGTCACTGTTAAGCGTGATTTTTCATTAATTTTCATAATTTCACAGGATAATTTGCTGGTTATTTTATTTTTTTATGTAACACTCGGAATATTTTTATTGCTCGGTCACTTTTTTGCACATTTTTCTGACAGCCGAGTGTTTATGTTTTTATTTTTACTTATATTCGGGGATTTTTCGTTGTTTTATTCATTTACATCACTGCAGGTTCATTATGCGGATGTGAATATTTTATCTGTCACTATTAATACTTAGTTGTTTAGCACCCTGTGGGGTGTTTACTAAAATATAATTTTGGTAAAAGGTTACAGTTTTTCAGTGTTTAAGTTTATTTATTTGTGGGAACATGATTGGGTGCAAATCGTACACAGAGGGAGGTGACTGGCCGCGCAGGAGAATTTAATTTTGTCTCGTTATACACTATATTGCCAAAAGTATTGGGCCGCTGGCCTTTCCTTGCACATGACCTGTAATGGCCCCCCAGTCTTAGTCCGTAGGGTTCAATATTGAGTTGGCCCCGCCCTTCCCACGCACATGAACTGTAATGGCCCCCCAGTCTTAGTCCGTAGGGTTCAATATTGAGTTGGCCCCGCCCTTTCCACGCACATGACCTGTAATCGCCTCCCAGTCTTAGTCCGTAGGGTTCAATATTGAGTTGGCCCCGCCCTTCCCACACACATGACCTTTAATGGTCCCCCAGTCTTAGTCCGTAGGGTTCAATATTGAGTTGGCCCCGCCCTTCCCACACACATGACCTTTAATGGCCCCCCAGTCTTAGTCCGTAGGGTTCAATATTGAGTTGGCCCCGCCCTTCCCACACACATGACCTTTAATGGTCCCCCAGTCTTAGTCCGTAGGGTTCAATATTGAGTTGGCCCCGCCCTTTCCACGCACATGACCTGTAATCGCCTCCCAGTCTTAGTCCGTAGGGTTCAATATTGAGTTGGCCCCGCCCTTCCCACGCACATGAACTGTAATGGCCCCCCAGTCTTAGTCCGTAGGGTTCAATATTGAGTTGGCCCCGCCCTTTCCACGCACATGACCTGTAATCGCCTCCCAGTCTTAGTCCGTAGGGTTCAATATTGAGTTGGCCCCGCCCTTCCCACACACATGACCTTTAATGGTCCCCCAGTCTTAGTCCGTAGGGTTCAATATTGAGTTGGCCCCGCCCTTCCCACACACATGACCTTTAATGGCCCCCCAGTCTTAGTCCGTAGGGTTCAATATTGAGTTGGCCCCGCCCTTCCCACACACATGACCTTTAATGGTCCCCCAGTCTTAGTCCGTAGGGTTCAATATTGAGTTGGCCCCGCCCTTTCCACGCACATGACCTGTAATCGCCTCCCAGTCTTAGTCCGTAGGGTTCAGTATTGAGTTGGCCCCGCCCTTTCCACACACATGACCTTTAATGGCCCCCCAGTCTTAGTCCGTAGGGTTCAATATTGAGTTGGCCCCGCCCTTTCCACGCACATGACCTGTAATCGCCTCCCAGTCTTAGTCCGTAGGGTTCAATATTGAGTTGGCCCCGCCCTTTCCACACACATGACCTTTAATGGCCCCCCAGTCTTAGTCCGTAGGGTTCAGTATTGAGTTGGCCCCGCCCTTTCCACACACATGACCTTTAATGGCCCCCCCAGTCTTAGTCCATAGGGTTCAATATTGAGTTGGCCCCGCCCTTTCCCACGCACATGACCTGTAATCGCCTCCCAGTCTTAGTCCGTAGGGTTCAATATTGAGTTGGCCCCGCCCTTTCCACACACATGACCTTTAATGGCCCCCCAGTCTTAGTCCGTAGGGTTCAATATTGAGTTGGCCCCGCCCTTTCCACGCACATGACCTTTAATGGCCCCCCAGTCTTAGTCCGTAGGGTTCAATATTGAGTTGGCCCCGCCCTTTGCAGCTATAACAGCTTCAACTCTTCTGGGAAGGCCCCCCACAAGGTTTAGGAGGGTGTCTATGGGAAGGTTGGACCATTCTTCCAGAAGCACATTTGTCAGGTCAGGCACTGATGTCGGGGGAGGAGGCCTGGCTCGCAGTCTCCGCTCTAATTCATCCCAAAGGTGTTCTATGGGGTTGAGGTCAGGACTCTGTGCAGGACAGTCAAGTTCCTCCACCCCAAACTGGCTCCTCCATGTCTTTATGGACCTTGCTTTGTGCACTGGGGGGCAGTCATGTTGGAACAGGAAGGGGCCATCCCCAAACTCCTCCCACAAAGTTGGGGGCATGAAATTGTCCAAAATGTTGCCTTAAGTGTTCCCTTCACTGGAACTAGGGGGCCAACCCAACCCCTGAAAAACAACCCCACATCATAATCCCCCTCCACCAAACTTTACACTTGGCACAATGCAGTCAGGCAAGTACCGTTCTCCTGGCAACCGCCAAACCCAGACACAGCCATGGGATTGCCAGACAGAGAAGCATGATTGGTCCCTCCAGAGAACATGGCTCCACGGCTCTAGAGTCCAGTGGTGGCGTGCTTTACACCATAGCATCCGATGCGTTGCATTGCACTTGGTGATGGAAGGCTTGGATGCAGCTGCTCTAGAGTCCAGTGGCGGCGTGCTTTACACCATAGCATCCGATGCGTTGCATTGCACTTGGTGATGGAAGGCTTGGATGCAGCTGCTCGGCCATGGAAACCCATTCCATGAAGCTCTCTACGCACTGTTGTTGGGCTCATCTGAAGGCCACACCAAGTTTGGAGGTCTTTAGCTATTGACTCTGCAGACAGTTGGTGACTTCTGCGCACTGTGCGCTTCAGCATGCGCTGACCCCGCCCTGTCATGTGATGTGGCCTACCACTTGGTGGCTGAGTGGCTGTTGTTCCCAGTGGCTTCCACTTTGTTATAATCCCACTAACAGTTGAGCGTGGAATATTTAGTATTAGGGATGTATTTAATGGCTGCCCGAGTCGTAACAACCATGACCCCTCCCCACTGAGCCCATTCAGCCGGGGATTTCATGGAAGGAGATGACAAAGTATGGTCCATAACTGGTCACCCAGGAGACCCCACCTCTCTGTCTATGTGACTGGAACCAGAAGATATTATTCCATGTGACCGGATCGGACCTGGTGGAGGGATTGTCCTTTCTACAGGTCACTGATCATTGTTCATCCTGATTGGATCAGCATCACTGGATGACGCCATTTACAATGGATTTACATTGTGGGAAAAGATTGTATTTCTGTTTCTGAAAGGAATTGTCACAATGTGTGGTGTGTTTATATACTTTGTGTGTAAATGAGGAGGCGTGTCCTGTACCTCCACCCATTCATACTGGGGGATGGTATCTGGGGCCCCCATATTGTGAAAGAGGGCTTCTGGGTCCTGTTCAGCCTCCCTACCCACTGACCCCCACAACTGGGCCAGGGTTCTGGGGAAGAGGCCCTCGTCTTCATTACATGGGTGGAGGGAGCTTTGCCAGGAATACCATACTGGGGGCATGTGGCCTGGAATGGTTCAGGGGAGGGGATGGCAAACAATTCCCTCCACCTTCTTGGCCTGCCAGGCTGCATGATTTCATAAGGGTCTGGTGTCCATTTTTGTGGGGGTCCCTCATTAACACCTATAGCAGACCCCCATCTAGTGGAAGAGTCTGGAGTAGGTGAATGGAACCTCTTGTCTTCTGTGCTGCAATGAAATCTCACTATCTGTCCCCATTCTGTATGTATGGACTCTGCACAGTCCCACTTCCCTGTCCCGGATGCCGGGTGTCATTCTCGGTATCTGTCCCCATTCTGTATGTATGGACTCTGCACAGTCCCACTCCTGTCCTGGATGCCGGGTGTCATTCTCGGTATCTGTCCCCATTCTATATGTATGGACTCTGCACAGTCCCACTTCCCTGTCCTGGATGCCGGGTGTCATTCTCGGTATCTGTCCCCATTCTATATGTATGGACTCTGCACAGTCCCACTTCTCCTGTCCCGGATGCCGGGTGTCATTCTCGGTATCTGTCCCTATTCTGTATGTATGGACTCTGCACAGTCCCACTTCTCCTGTCCCGGATGCCGGTGTCATTCTCGGTATCTGTCCCTATTCTGTATGTATGGACTCTGCACAGTCCCACTTCTCCTGTCCCGGATGCCGGGTGTCATTCTCGGTATCTGTCCCTATTCTGTATGTATGGACTCTGCACAGTCCCACTTCTCCTGTCCCGGATGCTGGGTGTCATTCTCGGTATCTGTCCCTATTCTGTATGTATGGACTCTGCACAGTCCCACTTCTCCTGTCCCGGATGCCGGGTGTCATTCTCGGTATCTGTCCCTATTCTGTATGTATGGATATTTTTATTTGTATAAACAAACAAATTACAAGGTAACAAAACTGTAACCATCGTAAAACAAACAGCACATAAACCAACAATCTAACAACTGCTTACATCTTCTTCACGTCAAAAACACATCAGTTTAAATGAAATGAAAAGTTATACACAGAATTTTGATACTATAAATAAATTCCATCCCATAATTTTATATTCCTCCAGTATTTCCTTAGCTCTAAACTCTTTATCCACCTCAGCTCTGAGAGGACTACGTCTGCGACTCTCCTGGCCAGTATGGACTCTGCACAGTCCCACTTCTCCTGTCCCGGATGCCGGGTGTCATTCTCTATATCTGTCCCCATTCTGTATGTATGGACTCTGCACAGTCCCACTTCTCCTGTCCCAGATGCCGGGTGTCATTCTCGGTATCTGTCCCCATTCTGTATGTATGGACTCTGCACAGTCCCACTTCTCCTGTCCTGGATGCCGGGTGTCATTCTCAGTATCTGTCCCCATTCTGTATGTATGGACTCTGCACAGTCCCACTTCTCCTGTCCCGGATGCTGGGTGTCATTCTCGGTATCTGTCCCTATTCTGTATGTATGGACTCTGCACAGTCCCACTTCTCCTGTCCTGGATGCCGGGTGTCATTCTCAGTATCTGTCCCTATTCTGTATGTATGGACTCTGCACAGTCCCACTTCTCCTGTCCCGGATGCCGGGTGTCATTCTCGGTATCTGTCCCCATTCTGTATGTATGGACTCTGCACAGTCCCACTTCTCCTGTCCTGGATGCCGGGTGTCATTCTCGGTATCTGTCCCCATTCTGTATGTATGGACTCTGCACAGTCCCACTTCTCCTGTCCCGGATGCCGGGTGTCATTCTCGGTATCTGTCCCTATTCTGTATGTATGGACTCTGCACAGTCCCACTTCTCCTGTCCTGGATGCCGGGTGTCATTCTCGGTATCTGTCCCCATTCTGTATGTATGGACTCTGCACAGTCCCACTTCTCCTGTCCCGGATGCCAGGTGTCATTCTCGGTATCTGTCCCTATTCTGTATGTATGGATATTTTTATTTGTATAAACAAACAAATTACAAGGTAACAAAACTGTAACCATCGTAAAACAAACAGCACATAAACCAACAATCTAACAACTGCTTACATCTTCTTCACGTCAAAAACACATCAGTTTAAATGAAATGAAAAGTTATACACAGAATTTTGATACTATAAATAAATTCCATCCCTCTAATTTTATATTTCCTCCAGTATTTCCTTAGCTCTAAACTCTTTATCCACCTCAGCTCTGAGAGGACTACGTCTGCGACTCTCCTGGCCAGTATGGACTCTGCACAGTCCCACTTCTCCTGTCCCGGATGCCGGGTGTCATTCTCTATATCTGTCCCCATTCTGTATGTATGGACTCTGCACAGTCCCACTTCTCCTGTCCCAGATGCCGGGTGTCATTCTCGGTATCTGTCCCCATTCTGTATGTATGGACTCTGCACAGTCCCACTTCTCCTGTCCTGGATGCCGGGTGTCATTCTCAGTATCTGTCCCCATTCTGTATGTATGGACTCTGCACAGTCCCACTTCTCCTGTCCCGGATGCTGGGTGTCATTCTCGGTATCTGTCCCTATTCTGTATGTATGGACTCTGCACAGTCCCACTTCTCCTGTCCTGGATGCCGGGTGTCATTCTCAGTATCTGTCCCTATTCTGTATGTATGGACTCTGCACAGTCCCACTTCTCCTGTCCCGGATGCCGGGTGTCATTCTCGGTATCTGTCCCCATTCTGTATGTATGGACTCTGCACAGTCCCACTTCTCCTGTCCTGGATGCCGGGTGTCATTCTCGGTATCTGTCCCCATTCTGTATGTATGGACTCTGCACAGTCCCACTTCTCCTGTCCCGGATGCCGGGTGTCATTCTCGGTATCTGTCCCTATTCTGTATGTATGGACTCTGCACAGTCCCACTTCTCCTGTCCTGGATGCCGGGTGTCATTCTCGGTATCTGTCCCCATTCTGTATGTATGGACTCTGCACAGTCCCACTTCTCCTGTCCCGGATGCCGGGTGTCATTCTCGGTATCTGTCCCCATTCTGTATGTATGGACTCTGCACAGTCCCACTTCTCCTGTCCTGGATGCCGGGTGTCATTCTCGGTATCTGTCCCTATTCTGTATGTATGGACTCTGCACAGTCCCACTTCTCCTGTCCCGGATGCCGGGTGTTGCTGGTGTTTTGTTACAGGAAGTTCTAGGAATGTACTTTGTCACAATCGGGATAATAGTTTCAGATTTCATCACTCTCATATCTTCCTTCCATTTCACACACTTGGCTCCAGCTCAGGGGAAAAGGGAGAGACTCAGCCAGGAGACAGCAGACCACAGAGGAGAGACTGCAGAGAGCGGAGGGGACTCCGCCAGGAGACATCAGACCACAGAGGAGAGACTGCAGACCACAGAGGAGAGAGTGAAGGTCCCCCATCAAAGCGGTAGGATGGAGCACTTGTATGAACTCTTCTGAATGCCGGGGGGGGGGGGGGGGGGGGGGGTACTTTGGAAGACTGAAATGTATTGTATGCTGTGTTGGGATGTATCTATGGAGGACTCTATTAGACATCTTTCAGCATGGAGGCTGTGTATGGCCAGCATTATGGATACCAAACATTCCCCTAAGAAGATGTAATAAGAAATTAAAAAAAAATAAAAATCAATTGTTAGAGAAAAATATCAGGAGGTTCAAAATGATCCCAGCTTAAGGTTGACCTACTAAACTTTTATACAAGCATGCAGCTTGGTACAGCCCCCTCCTGAACCATACCAGGCCATATGCACAGTATTGCCAAAAGTATTGTCCCAGCCCTCCATATCATGTGATTCAGGTGTTCCAATCCCCTCCCAATCATGTGATTCAGGTGTTCCAATCCCCTCCATATCATGTGATTCAGGTGCTCCAATCCCCTCCATATCATGTGATTCAGGTGCCCCAATCCCCTCCATGGACACAGGTGTATACAATCAAGCCCCTAGGCATGCAGACGGCTTCTACAAACATTGGTGAAAGAATGGGTCGCTCTCAGGAGCTCAGTGGCTCCAAGCGTGGTCCCGTGATAGGTGGCCACCTGGGCAATAAGTCCATCCGTGACATTTCCTGGCTACTAAATATTCCACGCTCAACTGTTAGTGGGATTATAACAAAGTGGCAGCCACTGGGAACAACAGCCACTCAGCCACCAAGTGGTAGGCCACGTCACATGACAGGGCGGGGTCAGCGCATGCTGAAGTGCACAGTGCACAGAAGTCACCAACTGTCTGCAGAGTCAATAGCTAAAGACCTCCAAACTTGGTGTGGGCCTTCAGATGAGCCCAACAACAGTGCGTAGAGAGCTTCATGGAATGGGTTTCCATGGCCGAGCAGCTGCATCCAAGCCTTCCATCACCAAGTGCAATGCAAAGTGTCGGATGCCATGGTGTAAAGCACGCCGCCACTGGACTCTAGAGCAGAGGAGGCGTGTTCTCTGGAGGGACCAATCACGCTTCTCTGTCTGGCAATCCGATGGATGTGTCTGGGTTTGGCAGTTGCCAGGAGAACGGTACTTGCCTGACTGCATTGTGCCAAGTGTAAAGTTTGGTGGAGGGGGGATTATGGTGTGGGGTTGTTCTTCAGGGGTGGGGCTTGGCCCCCTAGTTCCAGTAAAGAGAACTCTTAAGGTGACATTTTGGACAATTTCATGCTCCCAACTTTGTAGGAAGAGTTTGGGGATGGCCCCTTCCTGTTCCAACATGACTGCCCACCAGTGCACAAAGCAAGGTCCATAAAGACATGGAGGAGCCAGTTTGGGGTGGAGGAACTTGACTGTCCTGCACAGAGTCCTGACCTCAACCCCATAGAACACCTTTGGGATGAATTAGAGCGGAGACTGTGAGCCAGGCCTCCTCCCCCGACATCAGTGCCTGACCTGACAAATGTGCTTCTGGAAGAATGGTCCAACCTTCCCATAGACACCCTCCTAAACCTTGTGGACGGCCTTCCCAGAAGAGTTGAAGCTGTTATAGCTGCAAAGGGCGGGGCCAACTCAATATTGAACCCTATGGACTAAGACTGGGGGGCCATTAAAGGTCATGTGTGTGGAAAGGCAGGCCGCCCAATATTGAACCCTACGGACTAAGATTGGGGGGCAATGAAAGGTCATGTGTGTGGAAAGGCAGACCAACTCAATATTGAACCCTACAGACTAAGATTGGGGGGGCCATGAAAGGTCATGTGGGGGGAAAGGCAGGCAGCCCAATACTTTTGGCAATATAGTGTATATCCTGAACATTGAGGGGTATGTTGCTAGAGGGGAATCTCTGGCAAAGCAGCTTGAGCCCATGTTGATGAGGACAAGGACCTTTTCCGAACAACCCTGGCCCGTTAGCTGTACAAAAGAGCACACAAACCCACCAAAAAAAAAAAACAATTGTCATGTGATCCGTTCCTCATGACTGCTCAACCTCGAGGATGGCTCCGGCGGATGATTGCTGAGTAAACGCAGGGTAGCCTGACCTGGGGAGGTGTAACTTTGTTCACACTTCTCAAATCGATTTCTTCTGTGTGTAAATACACCTGTGATGGCGGAGTGGGTGGAACAGAACACACAAGGCTTTTATTGAAAGGCAAGGAAAGCAGAGATATGGTAGGCAGAGGTGTAAATCTGTAACACAGAGCTGAACACACTACAGGGATGGAAGGATGCAAACAAAGGGTTAAGTCCAGCCCACAGGGTAAAAGGTCCAAGCAGAGAAGGGTTAAGTCCAGAACACAGGGCAAAAGGTCCAAGCAGAGCAGGGTGAAGTCCAGCACACAGGGCAAAAGGTCCAAACAGAGCAGGGTTAAGTCCAGCACACAGGGTAAAAGGTCCAAGCTGAGCAAAGGTATGTCCAGCACACGGGAGAGAGTTCCGGGCAGAGCAGGGTTAAGTCCAGCACACAGGGCAAAGGGTTCCAGGCAGAGCAGGGTTAAGTACAGCCCACAGGGCAAAAGGTCTAAACAGAGCAGGGTTAAGTGCAGTACGCAAGACAAAAGGTCAAAGCAGATCAAGGTTAAGTCCAGCACACAGGGCAAGAGGTCCAAACAGAGCAAGGTTAAATTCAGCACACAGGGCAAGAGGTCCAAGAAGAGCAAAGTTAAGTCCAGAGTCAAAAGTAACAATCCATCCAGGTACAGCAAGTCAAAGACAACACACAGCCAACAGTTGCAGGAAGAGCAGAGAGGAGAGGAGAGCAGAGTCCCAGAGTCTAGGAAGACTTGCAGCCCTCAGCTCGTGTGTCCATCACAGGACTACACTCAGAAAATGGTCTGAGCCTTTCTGCCAGCATAGGGGAGATACAGTATATTGTCCCTTCAATTCAACCAAACCTCAAACACCCGGCACCGACACGTCTGGCTTTATCCAGCTGCAGGACACCTCGCTGTCTGTGCCTCCTGCTGAGATCAGCCTCATCTCCCACCCCCTGTGGGGCACAGGAACTCCTAGATCAGCCTCATCTCCCACCCCCTGTGGGGCACAGGAACTCCTAGATCAGCCTCATCTCCCACCCCCTGCGGAGCACAGGAACTCCTAGATCAGCCTCATCTCCCACCCTCTGCTGGGCACAGGAACTCCGAGATCAGCCTCATCTCCCACCCCCTGTGGGGCACAGGAACTCCTAGATCAGCCTCATCTCCCACCCCCTGTGGGGCACAGGAACTCCTAGATCAGCCTCATCTCCCACCCCCTGCGGAGCACAGGAACTCCTAGATCAGCCTCATCTCCCACCCTCTGCTGGGCACAGGAACTCCTAGATCAGCCTCATCTCCCACCCCCTGCGGGGTACAGGAAGTCGTAGGTCAGCCTCATCTCCCACCCCCTGCTGGGCACAGGAACTTCTAGACCAACCTCATCTCCCACCCCCTGCGGGGTACAGGAACTCCTAGATCAGGCTCCTCTCCCACCCCCTGCTGGGCACAGGAACTTCTAGATCAGCCTCATCTCCCACCCAATGCAGAGTACAGGAACTCCTACATCAGCCTCATCTCCCACCCCCTGTGGGGCACAGGAACTCTTAGATCATCTGCATCATCAGCAACCATGATGTCACCCGACCCCAATATTTACTGCCCAGGAATCCCCTGCCATGTAAACAAAGGGGTGGTTATAGCGTGACATCACCAACCACATGACCATATTTGGGCAATGAGATTGACTTATTTGCTTTATGACCATGGTCATAGTTGGGCGATGACATCACTGGGTACATACCCCGCCCCTCATTCAGCACCAAGGCCCCAGGATATGCCATTTGTGGCTCATTCACTGGGATTTTTCTGGTGAGTCGGCAGGTGTCATTCATAGTAAGATCTGCATCTCTTCACCAACATGACTGACAATGGGTTTACAAGGGGACATTTTTGGGGGTTCTTTTCTTTTTTAATTAAAGATTTGGCAGAAAGTGTGGCATCGTTATGTACAATTTTCATTTTGTTCTGAATGAATATGGGTACT